GGGAGTGGGGGGGGCAGGTTCATAGCCCTGGGACCTGGCTTGTCTGCCAACCCTTTCCCCAGGGCCCTAACCCTGGGCTCTAATCTGGATCCATAGCCAGCCTGCCCCCCCCCCCAGCAAATATTGAATGAGGGACCCCCTCCCTTGGAGGTCTCAGAGGGGGACCCTCCCAGCCAGCAGGGGCTTGTCATTCATGCTGACCCCTGGAGCCCTCTGAAGGCACCATCTGGGTTTGGTGCCAACCCCAAATCTAGGTCACCCACTTGGGGGGAAAGTGGAGCGAGCTGAGGTGGGTGATCTATATCTACAGCCAGGCTGGAGGCACCTTGCTCAGGATGCAGCTGGGGGATGGGGGTGGCCCCTGTAGGTGGGATGGAAGGTCACACAGGGCCCGGGCACCTGGAGGGGGTTGTGACGGTCCCCATAGACCTTGGGGGGGGGCTCAGGGAGAGATGCCAGAGCTGTCTCTGGACCATCTGTACAGAGGGGCTGATGCAGTGGTCCCAGCACTCCACTCGGGTGCCCGTGGCCAGAGGGCAGGTGGGCACTTGGGGGGGGTGACCATGGCGGTGTGACATCTACAGGTGCTGGAAGATGGCCACCAGTGGTGGAAGCTTCGCAGCCGCAGCGGCCAGGCTGGCTACGTGCCCCACAACATCCTGGATGAGATCAGGCCTGAGGACGTGGGCGCCCCCCACGAGCAGGTGAGGGGAGTGAGCAGGTGAAGGGGGGCCACGGCTCTGCTCTGTCCCACTACAGGCTGGGCGGAGCGGCAGGTGCCCCTGGTCGCAGGGAAAAACCCACCCTGAGCCTGGAGGCCTCGCTGCAGGGGCTCCCAGGCTCTGGCCCCCGGGCCAGTCGGGGGCCTGGGCAGGTCCTGGGGAGGAAATGGGGGAGGGGTTCCTCACACGCCCCCTGCGCCAGCCCTGGTGGAAGGGAAGGTGAGTGACCCTGATGGGCTGCACCCCCTGCCCCTTCCCCCCACCCGCAGGCCGGTCTGAAATACTGGGGTCCTGCCAGCCCGACCCACAAGCTGCTGCCAAGCTTCGCTGGAAACAAAGACGGTGAGAGGGGAAGGGGCTGGGGGTCAGCGCCGCCTGGGGCAGGGGAGGGGAGCCGGGGCCGCGGGGCTGAGCCGCTGGCCCCGCAGAGATGATCCACCACATGGACGAGGTCAACGACGAGCTCATCAAGAAGATCAGCCACATCAAGGCGCAGCCCCAGCGCCACTTCCGCGTGGAGCGCAGCCAGCCCGTGAGCCTGCCGCTCACCTACGAGTCGGGCCCCCTCGAGGTCCGCGCCTGGCTGGAAGCCAAGGCCTTCAGCGCGCGGTGAGCGGCGGGCAGGTGTGGGCAGGTGTGGGCAGGTGTGGGCAGGCGTGGGCAGGCGTGGGCAGGTGTGGGCAGGCGTGGGCAGGTGTGGGCAGGTGTGGGCGAGGCTGCCACGGCCGGCCACGCCCGCCTTCACGCCCGCCCGTCCCCACCGCCCGTCCCGCAGGATCGTGGACAACCTGGGCATCCTGACGGGCCCCCAGCTCTTCTCCCTGAACAAAGAGGAGCTGAAGAAGGTGTGCGGGGAGGAGGGCATCCGCGTGTACAGCCAGCTCACCGTGCAGAAGGCCTTCCTGGAGGTGAGCCCGCGCCCTGGGCGCCCCCGCCTGCTTCCCCCACGACCTGCGGGGTCCCTAGCCTGAGGCCGCCCCATTCCCGCCCCTAGAAGCAGCAAGGCGGGTCGGAGCTGGAGGAGCTCATGAGCAAGTTCCAGAGGCGGATGGAAGACGACAGCTAGACCCGGCTGTGCGGGCGCCGGGCACGCTGCTGGGCAGAGCACTGCGGGCGGCCCGCCCCAGGGCACGGAGTATTATTTTTGTATGTGTATGTATTTTGTACCATGGACGCGGAGGGAGTGTGGTGCTGGCCGCCGGCCCTGCACCCGGCCGGGGGCAGCTCACCTGCCTCATGGCACGTGGCCCGTCCTCAGGCTGAGCGACGCCCCGACCCACACTCGC